TTGTTGGGAGGAGTGGGCGATAGAAGATTGTTCGGCCCGGAGTTGGTAGAGGAGACCACGTCCAAGATAGTTAAAATCAAGAAGAACATTCAGACAGCTCAGAGTAGGCAGAAGAGTTATGCAGATACCTGGATGAGAGACCTAGCTTTTGAGAAAGGCGACCGGGTGTTTCTTAAGATCACTCCTTTCAAGAGAATCAGTAGGTTCGGCAGGAGGGGAAAATTAAACCCCAGATATATTGGACCCTTTGAAATCTTAGACAAGATTGGTACCGCTGCCTACAGACTTGCACTGTCTCCTGAGCTCTCCCGGGTTCATAACGTGTTTCACGTATCTATGCTACGTAAGTACAACCCAGACCCTTCTCATGTCTTGACTCATGAACTGCTTCCACTCCAAGAGGACTTGTCTTATGAAGAAGTACCGGTCGGTATCACGGACCGAGAGAGCAGAATACTCCGCAACCGGAAAATATCATTTGTAAAGGTCGTGTGGCAGAACCACATGCCCAGGGAGGCTACTTGGGAACTGGAATCAGAATTTAGAGCCCAGTATCCCCATCTGTTCGATCAAGAGTAAAAGGCAAATTTGGGGGACCAAATTTCTTTAAGGGGGGAGAGTTGTAACGCCCAAACAATTGGGTATTTTTGTAATTTTTTTATTAATTGTATTTATTAAGTTTATTTGAAAAAAAAAAGAGCGCCACGTCAGCAACCACGTCAGCAGGCCCAGTCAGCAGTCCTGGCCAACTAGGACTTGACGCGTGGCAAGACCACGTCGACCCGGGGACGGGCCACGTTGGCGATCCGCGTACGCGTGATCGGACGGTCCAGATCAAGCGTGCGCACGGATGGCCCAGATGCAATCGCACGGACGGCCCAGATTCAATCAAAAACGGACGGCTGAGATCAAAAGCCAAAAGGGTATAAATAGAACCCCCACACCTGACCACAAAAACCCTAGCCGCCTGCCCTCGCCGGAGAAGACGAACCAGACGCCGGAGGAGCCGGCTGCCGCCACTCGCCGTCGCACCGGGGAGATTTCTGACCGCCGATCGAGGTAAATTTCATACACTCGACTCGTTTTTCCATGCTGATTTTTTCTGTGGCCAAATCAGAGCCAAAATCTCGGCCAAACGGCCGAAAAACACGGTCGAAACCCAGCGGTGCCGCCGCGTCCCTCCTCGGTTTTTGCCTCCGATGAGGCCCTTCCTGGCCTCCGTTTGATGCAATTTTTATATCACCATGATCACTATTCTTTTCTCTACAGGTTGATCGGAGCCGAATCACCAAAGCACGAACCTCACCGGAGAGCCGCCGCACCCGAGAGCACCGCCACCGGTAAGCTTCGGTTTTCTGTAATTTTTTGGCCCCCCGAGGGCCCTAGGGTTGTTTTATCGCAGGGACCGATGCAAGTGTGGCCGAATTCGGCCGGAAACGGCCGAAAACGGCCAACCCGAGGCTAATCGCCACCGTGCCGGAATTGCAATATTGGCCGAAAGGGGCCCTGGGCCTAATTTGAGATTTTTTGGAACACGTGCATGTACCAGTAGTGCATTTCAGCTCCCCGGAAAAAATTCAAGAAAAATTAGGGACAGCCTGTAGGCGCACTGTGAAGCCGTGTTCGGACCCCGAAACGAGTAAAGACCCCTCACCCTATTTCCTATCACGGTATTAAAGTTCAATAATGATAAAACGGTATTTCTTGAATCAACGAATGTGTGAAATTGCTTAAGGTCACTAATGGAGCCCGAGTCTGGTGTGTTTGTCGGTTAACTGTTATTTGGCCTATTTTACAGTTTTAAATGCAGTATGAGGTCTGATGTTTTCATTTCATAGTTTCGTGTGCATACTTTACTGTTTTATTAATTATGGGTTGAATGACTGAAAAACCGATGTTGTATGTTGTTTGTTTGGCATAAATCACTGTTTGCTTGTTTGTGTGTGAATTGATGATGCTGACTGAGGAAAAGGAGAATGAAAGGTTATGTAAATTGATAATTGTATAATGTGATCAGCCTGACTAGATATCCTGAGAGATGGTGGACGGACCGGGTTCGTAGGGAACCCTACCGGGATTGTGGTCTCTCATACCGGACGAGTTATGGAGACCTTATGTGTTTTGGCGCCCATACCGGACGGGGTATGGGGACGGCCCTGGAATCTGATTACAAGTGTTAAGGGTTCACGGGTAGCGGGACCCCTATGGATCCCCATGGATACTAGTAGGCTGGTAGATAAAGAAAAAATATGTTGTGTAATGATTGAATTACAAAAGGCGTGATAAATATTATGTTATACAGTTTATATGATTTCATGATGATGATAATGTTATTGCTTTCGTATACAGTTTTATGAATATCACCGAGGTAAGTGGATGGTAAAGGTTTTATTATTGATAAAAGGATTTGTTATAAATTATGCTCCATTGGTCTTTTTGTGTTTTCTACCCACCTTTACCTCCGTGACGGTGAGATATCGTGATGTCTTTACTGGGGTAGTGTAGCTCATTCCTTATTTAATCATTTCAGATCAGGAAGACATCGTTCCCGAGCCCGTTCCACAGGAAGACGACAAAGGGGACGCTTAAAGACTCCATAGTCATATTCATAGCTTTTACTTTCGAGTTTCTCTTTTAGTTAGTTTGATCTTTTATATTTTGAGCACGTTTTTGGTTTTAGTGTAAGGGATGTTAATCGAAATTTTGATTTTACTTCCACCTTTGACATTTTTAGTACACATATTTCGTTTTAAATTTTCGGGAGTGTTACAATGATTGAATTGTTTTATCATTAACTTTACTTAATTTATACAATTAATACCCTTAGTAAACTATATTGTTGGTGAGAATAATTAATTATTGTGCTAAACTGGTGAATTGGTGGGGTACAAATCACTTTCCCATGTCACTTAGCAAACCTGACTCACACCCCATGTGAAACATATACAAGTTGATGATTTGAAACAACGTGCTCTTTCACTTCATGGGTATGTATGTATGATTAATTTTGCACCAACTATGTTTTGATGTGAAATGACCTCAATTAACTGAACTTTACTTGACAAAACTAGCATTTTACAAATCTGCATTACCAATTTTGTGAGTTTGAAACCGATTAGCATATGTATTTGTATAAACTAATTAAATTTGAATTTCATCTCATATTTACTGTATTCTTGTTAGTAGGTTAATTTTCAGATAATGATCTCTCCTTATAAATATGTTGAATCTTTCGCATTAAGGAACAATTAATATTTACAGTTGAAAAACTTTGAGAAGAGACGTTTTGGGGAGCACAACACGTGTTCTCTTTACCATGTTTCCTGCAAGCATTAAATGGCTACCAGTAATCCTCTTATTAACTTTGAATTTTCACAATTAATCCTCTTATTAACTTGTGTATCACATTTCATTTGTCCTAATAATTAGTCTTCTTTGAGTTAACAAGTTTTAATTCACTCATTATTATCGTTTAATCTCAATTTGTGAGAAAGTCATTTAAGATTTAATCTTGCTTTCAATCTCAACTTATGGTTTGTTAAAAACAAAAAAAAAAAAAAAAAAAAGTGCTACATAATTGCTTTGTAACAAGAAACAAACAAAAAGATTTTATAAGCTTTAAAAGAAATGGATCAAAATATCATACATAAAAAAGAAGTCACAAGAGAAGAAGCTGCATCGACATTTACGAAAATCACTGTCTCTATATTGCGATGCAGTGATGAATACAATTCCATTATATATATATATATATATATATATGTCTCACTCTCAATAGCAGATTCCTCAGGCTTGATTAATCAAGCTTACTCTAAAACTGCAAAAAGTAACGTGTTTTATAATACAATTGAATATTCGAAAATAATTAATTTTTTTAATTGAAATAACCTCAATGGGTTAAAACTTAGATCTAATACTTCTTCTCACCAAAAAAAAAAAAAAAATTAAAGTAGCCATCATTTTTAACTGTATTATACATATAAATGTAGATATTGATAGATATATAACATATATCCTAATTAATTCATTAGCCTTGTTGGAATCACATGTTGAACACAAGTGAAAAACAGACGAATTAATTAATAGCGAAACTGGTTTCCGGTGTAAGTCTGGCCGAAAGACCAGCCGGCGGGAGCTACGTTGTAAGACAAGACACGGCGACCGTCGCTGGCGGTGACGAGAAAAGAAAGAGCTTGACCGTTGAGGTAGGCGTTGCTTTGCCAGTTCTGACCCCAGTTTCTTGACATGGCTTGCCATCTTGTTCTTGAACCCTTTATGGACACGCCACGGACATCACCGGCACCTCCAACATTTGTTACAAGAACTAGATTGAAATACGAATGTCCATTGATTGTGAATCTAATGCCTCCACTTCTCCGGCACCTTACCCTACTCACAAAATTACCCGCTTTAAGTTATTATTATATATATATACACTTCAAGTTATTATTATATCCTAGTATTTGCTCCTATCGATATATAAGTTGTCTAGAATTGTGTTACCTTCTGTACATAACGGGGACGATTCCAGCTCGGTACTTTGCGATGTGTTCGAAGATGGGTTGAGAGAGATCAAAGTGCTGGTTTGGAGGGTCACACCAGCCTCCGGGAGGGCAGAAATTAGTAGCAGTGACTACAATGGTCCCAGGAAGACACCATTGTGGGTCATTCACACACTTTAGCTCATAGCATGCACCGCAGCTCAACCCATTGTCGAACAATGCAGTGCTCAGGGCTGCTGTGTTTATCCCATAACCTTGACTGTATAGATTCCCATAACCACACGCTCCACCTGCATTCACATCAATACAACTTTATAGACACAGGAAGCAAATTGCTTGATGAAAAATTTACTAGTTAGCTAGACTAATAGTATTAAAGGTAAGTACGATATTAACCCATGTGATATTCCCAACTAAAAGAACTAATTAGTTATAAAACATAGATATTTGTATATATATATGTATACGTACCCATTGTCCCAGAAGCATCACCTCCTCCATAAAATGTTGCATGAGCATTAATCCACCCTCCTCCACCGTACCCATAAACAGTAGAAGAAACCACCGACACAAATCCCACTAGAACAATGCCAAAAAAACTCTTCATTTTCCTGCAAAAATAAGAACAACCATGTCCATAAAATCAACCATGCATTTATATATCGAAAAGTTTATTACATTAAACTAGCTAGTACTGTATATAAAGTTAATCTGTATCATGCATGGTTAAAATAAGGCAAACTAGGAAGAAAAGAGTAAAGAGGAGATTGTAATTTACAGGGAGATTGAAGAGGTTGAAAGAGTTGTTTTATGAGGAAATGAAGGAGGGAGGAGTCAGAGGAATAAATAGAGGAGGGTCAAGATCACACCTCCTGACAACCTGACAAATATGAGGTATTGGGACCATGAAACTGCTGGGTGGTTTTTGGGACACAAGATTTTATGGGAACGAATTGTAATTTGATGGGTCTGAATTTTTTGTTTTTGCTTCCCAAAACCGCGTCGGTATTCAAGGCAATCAAGTTTAATTGCTGGTATTATTCCATTGCAGAAGCTAGCATTACTAGGCCTTGATGTATAATTGCCTTCAAATAAATGCAGTAAAATTTTAAGTAGCTGACGTTTTAAGTGCTATTTCTTTTGGGCTATACATATGCAGATTAATCAATTGGTAACATAATTGCCAAATTGAAAATTCCCTTCAAGTTAAACACTGAAAATATCTCAATACTCTGACCATATGTACAAGTGTGTGTGTGTGTGTGTATGGTGGATTGTCTTAAAGCCAAGAAAAGAATATGCTTACTTTTCCATGCCATCAACATTGTAACTCTGAACAAGTATTTGAATTTTAGCTCAAGAAAATTGACAATACAATTACATATCATGTTCGTATGACATTAAATGCTATTCATAGAAGTGGACTCGATGACAGGGATACTGTTTCTTGTTTGTAGCTTTGGTTTGGGAAATGTCTCTTTCTCATTTATTACTCGCCAAAGGATCCATATCTCTTTTTTTACTTGCATAAATTTTCTGCTATGCCGCTCCTAAAACTTACCACTTTACACTTTTCCGTATCATTTGCTGTTGATGCATACACACACACACACACATATATACATATTATATATGCATATATTGATTCTAATATTTTATGTAATCAAATTTATAAAAGTTCATAAGTGGTGATGACACTTGCTTGAAGAGAATCATGAATGAAGTAGAAATCAATGTTGAAGTGCCCCATGCTTTTATATTTTTAAATAATAGAATGAACTTATTATCCCAAAAGTTTAAGTTAGATAAAAAATAGTTCAATCAATTATTTATATCTCAACATGTCCACTCATTAATAAGCCCATGACCTAAAAATATGAATCAAGTAAAAATTAAATAGTACATTAAACTCATTATTTTAAAAAATTAAATTGACAGAAAAAACTCAATTAATTATATTAAATAGGATTAGTTACAACATTAATAACAACATGACGATCAAAATAAAAATTTATCATAATAATTATGAGGTAGTTGATACTTTAGCAGAAAAATGAGAAATAACAGTTTGCTTCTTAATATTTTTAGAAAATGAGAGAATCTCTAAGAAACATCAAATATCTTATGACAGAGTGATGAACAATCAAACAACTTATCCAATCATAATTATAATAAATTAAAAGATGAAGGGTTAGTAATAAAATAGGAAAAAATAAAAACTAAAAGATAGTGCACTTTTGAGGTACTAAATACACACAAATACAGTAGTTTAATATCTTATGTAATATGATGTATAACTTCAGATAATACATAGATTGAATGACAAATATAAGCTCAACTAGTAACCAAGTAATGATCTTCGACACTAGGCATCTATATAGTTCAAGATTCTTAAAGAATTTAAAATAATCTAATATTAATTTGTGATGTTATTTGATATGGAAAAAAAAAAAGTAAGTTAAGAATTGATTAGTTTTGTTCATATTCTGGTCTAAATCAAACCAAATATTTTTTATCAAGTTCTTATTCATGAATAAAAGAACCCTAAATTTTGATCTATTTTCATTGAAATTAGACTAGACCGAAATGAATCAAATTGCCAAAAAATAAATAAATTAAAAAAATAAAAAAGCTAGAATTTGAAAAAAAAATCGGTCCTTTTCGATCTAGCTAGAAGCAAAACTAAAAGATATTAGTTTAATCGAGTCTAGTTTGAAATTAAAATAGTTTAATTTTTAGTAAAAACTTCATACCTTATTAGGTCCTTTGTATGGTCTAGTCTCGAATCGATGAATACTTATATTATTAACTAGTTCTATATCCCATGAAATATCCAAAGGCATACTTATATTTGTTGGATCGTCCAAAAAAATTTAATTTCTTGTGTAATTAAAGCAATTACAAAATTAATTCATTAAGTCCTCCGTCTTTGACTTCTAAATAATTAAAAGTCGATAATTTTACCATTGCACTTGTGAATTTCTCTGTTCTAATTCACAAAATCACAAATCAATCAAAAAATCTATCAACCTAACTCTAATACCATATGTTGTAAGTAATAATTTTCAAATTCATTTGAAGCGTATTTACCTTTATTATTATTGCAGAGAGATTTTAAAAATGTTTTTTTTTTTTTACCATGACATTAAATTGCTTAAAGTATTGAAGAATTTGGTCTCTCAATCTCAAAATAAACATTCAAAACTTTAGTAAAGCATTATTAATAAAAGTAATAAAGTATCTACAGTCTCTTATAATTTTCATATTAATAAGACCACGTACGTAAGAGAAAATTAATTCAAAAAAATATGATTGTGACTCATAAATCATAAAATGTGTGTGTGTGTATATATATTAAAATTAGTGGGAATTTTTAAATAAATGTTATAAATATTTGTGACAAAGATAGATTTGTATATAAAGAGATTATGAAATCTGTTGTCGAATAAGAAGGAGGAGGGGAATATTATATATAAATTGATAAAAATGGTGCAGCTTTTTTCAACAATCTTAGCTACCGAAAAAGAATATAACATAAGCATGTGAAAGCACTGTTAGTAGATTAATCAAGTGATAATATTGCCTGCAAAAATTCCCAATTAAACATCACTTATTTATTCATTCATTATACATAATTTAATCTTGGATTACAACTTGAACTTAAACTATTAAAACTTATTAAATTCTTAGTAACACAACTCCAAGTAACTAGTCATTAACATCTCTCTTCAAAGAAGAAATTTACTCGGTTCAACTATTTAAGAGTAATAATTAATATAACTCATAACCATCGAGCGTTGAAGATAAATTTTAAAAAAAAAATAAATACGATAATTAGCAAATGCAGAAAAATTAATCAGACATATTGCAATTTTAGTGTTGAAAATTTCCTCTTGTCATGGTTAGTGATGATTTAGAGAGCAATGCATGCCAAGGATTCGAAGAAAGATGTGCTGAAAGTCAAAAGAGAATTTAATTTAATACGTTTATTAATGGCCTGCACTATCCCTTTCCCATCAATTGCCGGCCTGAATTTATCTTAGATTACGGACCACTAGTTTTACGACATTTATCGTTACTATAGTAACAATAATAATATATATATACATATTGTTCTAATTAATATTATTGTTACTACTATGATAATTATATCTAAAAACGACAAGTGAAAAAGAGGACAGAAGCTAAAAACCCTTAAACTCATTCATGTTTACTCCATAATCTCTCAACTGTGGTAACTATTTTTTTTTTTCCTTCAAGGTTCACAATTTCAAAGGGCAAATGGAAGTAGAGGGAAACAAGTGGCATGTTGGTATGTGATAATAATGTTTATATTGTATTGATTGCATTATATAGATAGATGATTCTTTAGTTACGTTTGTTTTTATTTTAATATATTTTATATTTTAAAAATAAATAGATTTTAATAATTTTTTTTAATTAATTAATTATTTCATAGATGAATGTTAATATCACATACGATACACTTTTAGTTAGGGTATCCATAATGGCATACAAATTACGTTTTAATTAATTAATTGGAGAAAAAATTATGTGTTTTAAATGTATTTTTTTTACAAAATAAAAATATTATGTCAAAAATTTAATCATCCCACTTCAATTAACACGTTAATAAATTAATTATTATAAATTCATAAAATAATAAATTCAACATTCATAAATCATTCGACATATCTTTAATGTGAGATTTGACAATTTTTCTTCTTTTAAGATCACGTTTTGACATTAATTATTATTATTTAAAAAAAAGAAGAGAAAAGTCTAATTCCTTCATTTTCTTTCTGTTTCTCTTCCATGTGCCTGCAGATTATTTTTCTGCCTTCTTTAAGATGAAATTGATAGGTACATAAATATAATATATGATCTTCAACTATACATGATTACTTTGATTGCATGTATATGTATATGTATATTATTATCCTCATGGTATGGATCATGTTTGATTGAAGATCGATGTGTAAGCAATTAAAAGATGGACCATGTCAGTCACTTTTGTTGATCCCACTAATTAAGTTACTGTTATTGAGGCCACATGCCCATGTTCCCATCAAACACCAGATATCATATCACAAAGATCTTCACCAACCAATTCTAATTAAAAACCCTAATCCACCAATCAATTTTACTCCCTAAGTTTTCAAAATTTTTTTTTTTTTTTTTTTTGTTTGGTGTTCTATTGGTTCTAATTAAAAATGCATTACCTTATTCAAAGCAAATCTTGGTTTCTAATAGATGGCCAACGTCTTTGTTGAGGAATAAAGGTTGGAAATCTTCATTTTGTGCCTAATTCTTTTCTAGACCATAATCACTTTTGGAACCCTTTTTTTAGTAGGAAAAAAAAAAAGTTAGAATCTCCATAAAGATATCTACTAGTGGCATAATTTCAATGAATTCGAACTTTTGTTCTCGTGACAAGCTCTTTTATATTATTTTCTTTGTACTTTGTGCTTAACAATATCTTAGTTTTCAAAATTTTATTTGCGTATTAAATTTTATCGCTCATAATTCTAACTTCACTTAAATCGAAAAATCAGTTCTAAATATAACTAAAATTAGTATGCCCCTTTCGATTTCTTATGAGACCAGACTTGCGTGCACTATGCACTCTTACACCCAAATAGGTCAATAGCAAGGTAAAATAGAATATCAAATTTCATTTTAAGTTTAGAGAATGCTTATTACTACTAATCATCACCATTAAACACATAATGAAAGGTAATGTAATGCCCTCAATT